GGAGGGGGCACAGTTAAGGCAGAGCCTAGTCACCAACCAGACCAAACTACTTCAATATTTTCATAATTGGGTAAACTGCTGAGCCAGCTAACTGCCTGTCCTGGTTGTGATAACTCAACACTTACGCTAGTTAAACCCACTCTTAGATGCTTGTTACTGACCATTCAGTCACTGATTGCAATGGGACTATAACAGGGGCATATTCTTGCCAATGACTAATGTCACTAGGAATTTCAGGCATTTTTCAAGATGTGGGATTAAGCCATTTAAAATATGCATCACATGGCCATATACTTACAACAGCTGCAAAGATGTACTTCTGGTCTTTTTCTTGTAAGAAGAGCAGCACATCAGTTAGAAGTAGAGCTAGGATATCTTCAAAGAAAAAGGCATCGTTAGATCAGCGAAGCCAACCACAGCTGAAATGCCTTCATGAAATATTGTGATTTCATGTTTGAACTTAAATAAATTTATTAAAAATAAGACTAAGATTCAGTCTAATTATGAAACTTTTATAAAAATGCCTGCATTATGATAGCCACGACATTTTATAACAGATAAGCTGTGTTTAGCTGTGCGTGTCTATGTGTGTAGCTGTAAGGACTGCTAAATCTCCAGCAAAATTTAATGTTGTAGCTTTTAAAAAGGAAGAAAAACATCCAATAAAAAAAAGGGGGGCGTTTAATAGAATGGAGCAAGCTCTTACCTTTGGGGGCCCAGCACTTAATTAAAAACGCTAGAGGGCAGCTTCTATCTTAAACAATACATAAAAATCTGCTATTTTGTTCCATCGAGATCCAGGGAAGTTTGAGACCCTAATGCTTCCCTTACAAACTGTTCACAAGAACCCATCTTCACTACACCACTGACCACTCGGACCAAGTTACCAAACTAGTGATTCTGCTAAATAGGTCAAATGACTTGGACAATAGGATCTACCAACTGTGCTTAATATCTTAGTTTGGTTAATATTCTAATTGCGGTTAATGTTTAGGTGCAACAGGGCAAGTTGCTCATCAACAAACCCCCTTTCAGTCGTTAGTGGCAACCACTAGAGAAACTTGACAACCCTCCAAAGGGATTAACAACCTCTGGGTGCTTACCTAAGGGTGTTAGGATGTGTTTACGAGGACACACAAGGAGGGCAGACCAGTGGTTCTTAACCTGGCTGCACAGCAGACTCACCTGGGAGCTTTTATGCATCCCTACACTTGAGCTTCATCCCCAGACCAATAAACTCAGAATTTCTTGGAGGAGATAAGCAGTAGTAAACTTCTTAAGCTCCAGAGGCGATTCTGGAGTGTGGCCAGGGTGGAGAAAGCCTAGATGGGGCAAGATGCTCATACAGCATCAGCCCTGAACGAACTGTTTCAGACTTGAACCAGATTAGCAGAGTCAAGTGGGTGCCGTTAGCAACAGTAGCGCTGAGGAAGCATCCACACCAATACAAGCCTGCCTATTTCTGCAGTACATTCCTCGGTACCAAAGGTGATGTGTGGAGTTCATTTCTCCTCTGCATGGCCTGCCAGCCCTGAGCTGGGTGTGCAGGTGTACACTGTTTCATTTTAAATACACATTTGCCAGATTAATATTTGAGTGCCGACAATTAGCAGAATTCTCAGTTTGAACATAACACACTTGTGCATTCATAAGATATACATGAAGGCTTTTGCTTAGAGCAGCGAACTCCCACCAAAGGCTGGTAGCATTGGCCACAGAGCCTGTGGACATTCATGACCCGATCCTACAGGGATTTTCCCACAGATCCAGGGTTTGTGTGAGCGCCTATACCTCTGAGTCATTTTTCTTCAAACTTCTGTCCTCTGTTAAATGAATAGCATGTGTGGAAAACAAAGGAGAAACTGGTCTGTTAGCACCACAGTACCTTTGAAACGGCCCGTAGCAGTTTTCCAGAACACGAGGCCATCATATAGCAGAGTCCTCTCTTTGCTTATCAGCGCCTGCTTCCTAAACACGTGGCCATTTTTGAGCTTTGTACACGTTTTGTTCTCGATCTTACTCAGGATCTCGAGCCATTTCTGGTTTTTCTCATATTCGCTGACTTTTAAGTCCACGGCCGCAATCATGTCTTTAATTAAGCAAAGTGCTTTGCACAGGTCTTTGTGCTCTTCTGTGTTTTCTACATGGAAAAAAAGAAAGAAACGTGACACAAGAAGCCAGAGAGCTAAGAAAGACAATTTTTTTCTATACTTCTAAAACAGTTAAATGGATCACCCAAATAGCAAATATCTCAGGACAAAAACGATGGATTAAAGTCAAATGCCACATTATCACTAGGCAGCCCTCCTACCAAAAGAACCGTCAAAATATTTGATTATAAAAGATTTGCCATCAGATGTGCTTCAGCTGAAACACTATGGAAATAGGATGTCTGATCTCTAGGGACTGGCTTGACCTTCCCCCTAGACCAGGGTGGGGCAAAAGTAGATTACAGTTGTGAGTAGGCGAAACACAGTTTATTCTTGTATTATCATTAATTATTATTTTAAAAGTAGGAACAACTGTAAACCCACTTTTGCCCTTCCCTGTATACTAACTTAGGCCTTCCTTCTGCCTTCCAGACAGGTAATCAAGTAACTCCCACACCAAGTGTCTCAGAACTTAACCAGGCCACAGGCCTAGGTTAGAGTCTTTCATAAGTTGGAGCTTCAGGTGCCTTAAATGGGCCTCAGACTCAGTTGCTCTCCTGGATGCCTTCCTCCACAAAAATAATACTCAAAATTACATTTTACAACTGCATTAACATGAAGAAAAATATATCAATAATACATACAGGGTGTCCCAAAACATGTATATACACATAAGCAGCTGGTAGCTCAATTTTGAAAATGAAATGTATTTTAATAAACACTGCCTTTAGAATTATTCAAAGTGTACGCATACATTTTTGAGACACCCTATATTAAACATTTTTCAAACTAAAAAATTGGACCCAGGCACTGTGCCTCGCAGCTCATGCCAACAGAGTGATAATCACCAATCCCAGTTGTTAGTCTTTAAAACACTGGCCACCTGCTCTCATCTCTGGATTATCTTAAGCAAAAACTCTGGAGGAGTTTCTGGAACAGGCTCCTGAAACTACGGGTGAAACCAAGCGTAGCTGTTTTCTATATTTGAGGATGCAAATGGAGCTAAAGGGGAAAGTTCCAGGAGGTCAGCAGGTGCTAAAAGAGGAGGGGGAAATGGCAGAGAAAAATAAAAGGTTCTCTAGAGCCTAGAGCAGCAGAAATAAACACTCAGGAACAGCAGTCAAGTGGGTGAGAACAGTCCTCCAAAGGGTGTAAACATTTCAGGTTCTAAAGTCTTAGATACACAAGCATCTGTCAGAAAAGCTAAGGGACAAAACCAGACACTCATCTTTAACAAGGAAGATGCTTTCTCACTGCCCGTGAAGAACACACCTCACTGTTTACTCCAGTTGCTGCCCAAGAAGCAGCATCCACCTCAAACAGTTCTTTCTAAAGAGCATGCTTCAGAAATAGGAAAGTTGGGTAAAGAAAGTCAAAGTTGAGTTACAAGGTAAGGCCAAGAAAAGGCTCAAAGTCTTCTGACCTTCAGGGACAAATTCCTGTCTTACAATAGCTTTCTACTCGAAGCGCAGCAGCAGCAGCCTCACCTGGCGGTGCTGTTAGGAATGTTCACCTGGGCTCTACCTCAGATCTACTGGATCAGAATCTACCTGTAAACAGGATCCGCATGTGGAGGGCAATTCCTACTAAAGTCTGGGAAGCACTGTCATACAGAGTCATGTGAACCAATGGTCCCAGCAGCCAGAGAGGGAGGGAGAGCTGTCCGCTGGGGAGGTCTGGCCTAAGGAGGTGGTGTCCTCAGCCACTGTGCCGGCTGTGCGTGAGGAGCTATAATGTACGTCATGGTTATCACGGTTGACACGCGTGGTAGGCAATCGCTGTTATTCATTCACTATTTTTCCATTTGGGCTGGGATGATTCTCGGGGCTGACCTAATACAACCCGACAAGTTTTAGTCTGTGAGGTGTTGTATTAAGCTTAAGAGAATATAAACATAATACAAACTGAAAGTCTTGGTTTTGTTTTCATTCTTTTGCTGAAAACAAAATTTATGAGGCTTTTCCCTGTATATTGAGCTTCTATTTTCTTTTATGTCATATTATAAGGAGCAATAAAAATGGGACACAGGAATAGCTGCTACTCACCCCTTCCCCCAAAAAAGGATATTAAAAGTTGCCTCTTTTAGAGCTGGCTTATAAGACCTCATAGATCTTATACGGTATCTTTTTTTTAATATTTTTAAAATATAGACTTTATTTTTTAGAGCAGTTTTAAGTACACAACAAAATTGAGTAGAAAATACAGGGTTTCCCACATACCCCTTGCCCCCACGCATGCACACCCTCTCCACTATTAAGAGCTCAGGCCACGTGGCACCTTTGTTACAGCCAGTGAGCCCACACTGACATCATTACCACCCAAAGTCCACAGCTTACAGTAGGGTTCACTCTTGGTGTTATACATTCTATGGGTTTTTGACAAATATACTAACATTTTAAATAATTTAAAATAAATTAATGTAGTAATGGCTTTTTTATTGTGTAAGAACACTTAATACAAGATCTATCCTCTTAACAAATGTTTAAAAGCACAGTACGGTGCTGTTAGCTACAGGCACAGTGCTGTTACACGGTATCTTAAGACACCATTTTCATTACCTCTAAGTCAACTAATCATAACAAAGACAATAAAACCAGCTCCCACTTATTGAGACCTTGTTTATACCAGGCTCTGCACTGGGCACTTTCTGAGACAATCTCGCTTAATCCTCACAATTCCATAAGGAGATTCTTCTTCTCACTTGGTAGTGGAGAAAGCTGAGGCTCATTTAATTAACGTGCCCAACTATGAGTGGCAGAACCAAGTGTATGCAATAGCAATGCAAGTCTGTACAGCTCAAAACCCAAGCCCTTGTTAATACAACACGCTAACCCCTGGTAATAATCAGTTCAAGATCAACAAGCTAGCTTGAGGAACAGGCATTTTTATTTATTCATTCATTGCACTGATGTGTTTGTTCATTGACAGGCTATTCTGTACCAGCCACTGCACAAGGCATTGAAGATCCCACTGTGAACCAGATAGACACAGGCCTTCTAGATCCCTCAGGAGCTTACAGTCCAGCATGTGCATTAATAGCACCTTAAAGGATACCCAGATGTTACTCCCTGGAACTCAATGAATTGACAGGGTCAAAAATAGCGCCTTCTTAATCATTCTCAATCTATTAATTCATTACTTGGGAGAGTTGACATTTGTTGCTAGGATCAATCGCATGTGTTTCATCAGACAGCAAGAGGGAGATGAAGATGAAGAGGTATTAAGAAGATCTGGATGCGGAAAACACTGCAGAGGGAAAGGCAGGATCGAAGTATGAAGAAGCCTGCTTGGTCTGGGCTGCTTGCAGGACTTCAAGCCACATTATAAACGGTAACTTTTCAAAATAGATCCAAGTCCTAAGGCTTTAACAGGTTTTCCATAATGGAAATCCTAATGAATCAGAGGCCACAGCACTTACAGGTCTTTACAACACCTCAGGTATGTTTCACACTAATGAAAGAGGCAAATGTTTGTCCCAGAGGTTATCACTCACCCTTCGTGTACTGCAATATCCTCTCCACTAAGACCGGGTATTTGGTGATGCGCTGAGTGACTAGCAGAATGCATTCTGGAATTCCTCGGCGTCGAGCCAGAAGATTACTATTTCGGAGCTTAAAAAATATAGATATATTTTTTATATTCACAAACTCTATCTGTATTTTCTTTATAGGTGTGAATTTAATAATACAAAGAATCTGCAACAGTGTCCTTCTATTCAGACAGAACAGCAATGTACATTATCATTAATTAAAAATCGATGCATTGTCTTAAATTGTACACTTTGTCATTAATTTCAACAACCCAGCTCCCCTGAATTTCAAGAAGTTTTAGGTTGCTCTGATATATTTGTAGTTAATTCCAAAAGTAAGTAAATTCCAATACTTATACGTGGTAAGATTCATGAACAGCAAAAAGTTTTGAAAAATACTCAGAATACACTAATCAGGGCAACATTTTTCTAAAAATTTCAGAGTATTCTTTAAGTTTTCAAGCTCTCAATATACAGGGAAAAAAGGAGGAGAATCTGTTAGAATTTTTTAAATGGTAGATAAAAATTTAGGATCCATGAAATGCTAAAGGACAAATATCTCTAACAAATAAATTAGATTCAAAAAAAGGAAAGGGGAGCATTCAAATTAAAAGAGATTTAAAAGATGTAATTCCCATACACAACTATGAACCTTGGACAGATCCTGATGTAAGCAATTCAAATTTAGGAGATAATCAGAGAAATTCGAATACTGGCCAGCTATAGGAACATATTAAAGAATTACTGTTAATTTATTTAAGTGTGATAATGTCACTGTAATTTTTAAAAAGAGATCATATTGTTTAGAGATACATATGAGATGATGAGTCATGGATTTGCTTCAAACTAAGCCAGTGGGGGAGGAGGAATTCTGTCTTTATTTTTACTATGATTCTTCTGATTTCTAACTTGTCAGGGCATGAAAGAGCTTCACAGGATATTACAAAGGTGCCCATCAGCTTGGAGGGCATGACTTCACACATATAAGCTACAAAAGAAAGTGATTTAGAAGAAATATTTTACTAACACAGAAAAAAGGACTTTCCATCTTGGGCACAAACTATTAGTACTTCCTTCTCCTTCCCCTGAAATACAGCACCTAGAAGTGAAACTTATCTAGATCACATAAGAAATAAGCGTGAGCTATTTCCAGTCCTGGGTTACCACTGTGTGACAGGGTTTTAAAATACTTGCCTTAATAAAATTCTGAAACTTCTTATTCTGCTGGAGTTCTTTAAATAGGCTAACAGCTTCTTTGTGATGACTACAGAATTCTCCATATATTTTCTTCATTTTATTTGCATTTTCTTCTGAAAACTGAGAATAACATTTCAATGATGGATTACAAATTGAGTCAGTTCTAAACACTAAAGGGAAAATTCGGTTTTCATACATTTCAATACATTCTTTGCAAATAAAGAATAAACATCATGGTTTCCAAAGCTCAATGCTGATGCGCACATGTTAAAATAATTCCCTATTTATGAATCTACAAATAGACAATAGTGTTGGCATGTTCTCTTTGTCTATTAATTGGCCTGCTTCTCTGCAATATTATAAATGTTTTATAATAGCAGCTCATGAGCCCAGCTGGTGTGGCTCAGTGGTTGGGCATCAACCTATGATCCAGGAGACTGCGGTTCGATTCCCAGTCAGGGCACATGTCTGGGTTGCGGGCTCGATCCCCAGTCGAGGGTGTGCAGGAGGCAGCCGATCAATGACTCTCTCATCATTGATGTTTCTATCTCTCTCTCCCTCTCCCTTCCTCTCTGTGAAATCAATAAAGACATATTTTTAAAAAGCAGCTCATGATACTTTTCTGGTCTTCCCATGGCATATGAGCAAATAAACTATTTACACTACAAAAAAAAGAATAAACATCATGAAACTTCTGAACACAATCACTTCTCTTCCCCAAATATTGTTTAAGGTAAAATAAATGAAAGTCATCAAGAGGTAAAGGGAAGGCAGCAATCTAATGGGATTATATTATATTAAGCTAATTCAATTATCAAATAGCCAAATGAAAACCCACGGACACAGACAAAGTGTGGTGAAGGCCTGGGGGAAGGGGTGCTGGGAGGAGGGGATCGATGGGGAAAAAAAGGGGACATTAGTATTACTTTCAACAATAAAGATAAGTTTTTTTTTAAAAAAGAAAACCATTTGATATATTTATTTCTTTTTTAGCGTTTGTGCGACTTTATTATTTCAATTTATGGTCTGAATACTTTCATAGATTGAAGAAAGTGTTATGTGGCAACATTTGGGGGTCCTTGATAAGGGGCCTCTCGCGGATTGGCATTTACACTGGCTAACTGACCGTGTGCAGGCACTCAGACCTCAGCCAGGAATTTGATTTTTGTCAGCACATCACAAGTGGATCAAGAGGCAGGTAATCCATCGTTAGCCGAGATAAAAGAGAAAGATGAATAACTAGGCTGCCAATTAATTAACTGACGGAGAGAACTGGAGATGTGAGGCAGATATTTCAATAAGCTTGACCTACAGAAAAATCTCCCAGGCATGTCTCCCAGGCATGAACTCTGGGGTTTAATGGTAATAGACCTGCCTCACTCCTCCTAAAACCATCAGTGCTTATCTTGGAGATGTTGGTAAGACTGTCACAGGCCCACTGGGGGAGCCATCACAATAAGGTTAAGTAGACTTTTCATAAGGGGACTTATTTATGGCTGTGACTCCTGGTGGAGGTAGTGATAGGGCCAGTGTTGATCCAGCCAAGTCCTGAGCCCGTCATTGGCTATTAAAAGCTGTCAGGCATCAGTCATACAAACCAACATCAAATAAAAGAAAACCAACCAAAGCCACCTGTCAACCAAAATGAAATCAATTCCAGTTCTTCACAGGTGTTAGAGAAGCTGCAAACCTTTCTGTTTTTTGAGGTCAGGGCCTTTAAACTTCTCCCACCTGTTGTACTAGGATATCTCCAATGCGGTTGATGATGAAATTCCTGTCGCTGTCAGCGCAGGATTCCTGCCTCCGCTCCTTCATGCTACAGAAGAAATGCCTATGGATTTCAAGTAGCTCGTCCAAGCAGGGGAAGATTTTATCCACAGTGCTGTGGTCCAGCTGCAGCTCCTCCTTCATTCCTTTCCTGAAGATCTCGGACATGATGAAGAGGGTCTGGATGTGATGCATTTCCGTCTGCATTAGCTCTGGAGCATGCGAGCAGAGGCTAGCTTTAAAAACAAGTCTCCCCACTGACCTAAATTAGTAGCTAAACACTACACATTACACACATTTAAAAGAGGAAATGTTTAAGAATAGCCTTCCAGTATAAAAGTCAGCATCGATTAAACATTCCTGTAAGCTTAAATTAATCAACCCCCCCCAGATATAAGAGCATAAACATAATTCAAATCCAGTACATAAGAATCCAATGTATCTGAAACTCTCATAACATAACTAGGCAGCATCTCGAGGTACCTTCCACTAGGAGCCAGGTCTTGTCCTCTGCTGAGTGCTCTCTAAAACAGAACTTAGTATGTCTGGTTTTTCTGTTTTGTTTTTCTGGTTGGGGGAGCAGGGAGTTGTTTGTTGTTTGGTTTTGACTTTTTTTGCATTGAGTAGGAACACAATTAATTTGGTGAATTAAATTGAATTAAATATAATAAAGTTCCTCAAAGCAGACAACGGTAGGTCATTTCCACTCCTGGATCGGTCTCCAAAATTCTACTTCCTCTAGGGGAAAACCATGTGTCATGATCAAGGGACGTCATCGATAAAGTAAAAAGACAACCCATAGAATGGGAGAAAATATTTACAAATCATGTATCTGGTAAGGGACTTGTGTCCAGAATATATAAAATATTCTCACAACAACAACAAACCCACTTCAAAAACAGGCAAAAGATTCAAGGAGATATTTCTTCAAAGAGATATACAAGTGGCCAATAATGACATCATTAGCTATCAAAGAAATACAAATCAAAACCAAAGTGAGACACCACTTCCCACATACTGTGATAGCTGTAATAAAAAAGATGGACGATAAAGAAGCATTGGTGAGGTGAGGGTGCGGAAAAATCAAACCCTCACATGCTGCCAATGGGAATGTAAAATGGGGAAGCTGCTTTAGAAAATAGCTTGGCAGTTCCCAAAAAGGTTAAACATAAAGTTACCATATGACTCCCAAAGTGGAAACAACCCAAATTATCCATCAACTAATGATTAGATGAACAGAATGTGGTATGTTTATACAAGGAAATATTATTCAGCCATAAAAAGGAATGGAAACTGATACACACTATAATATGAATGAATCTTGAAAACATGATGTGAAAGTCAGTCACTGAAGATCACATATTGTACAACTGCATTTATGTGACGTGCCCAGGACAGGCAGGTCCCCAGAGACAGAAAGTAGAGTAGTGGCTGCCAGGCGCTAAGTGGGAGGGGGAGCGGGGAGTGACTGCTAATGGGCACAGGGTTTCCTTCTGGAGCGATGAAAACGCTCTGGAATTAGACAGCAGTTGATGGTTGCACAACTTGGTGAATATACCTAAAACCATTAGGTTTACTCTAAAGGGGTGAACGTTATGGTAGGTAAATTAAATCTCAGTTTTAAGAATGCATCATGAGAGAAAATAATAATTCACAATTTGTAGGAGCACTAGAAACCCTAGGTTAGTATTTCCAAACTCATGTGTTTTGAGAAAGAATCTAAAATGTTAACAATAAAAATAAAGAAAAAAATAAAAATAAATAAAATATTAGCCATGAGGGTAAACAAATCTAAACATAGCTTTATTTGTATCATAAACAAAAATCTCTTTAATTGGGAACCCACTAATTTTAAATGATTTCCTACATGTTTCAGTGCTAGACACATACCCGAGTCATTTCATTTAATCCTTTAATCCATTTATCCATTATGATCCCCAAATAGAAATGATTTCCCTCTTCTTTAAAAGAGGAACAATAAAGAAGAAAGGTAAAGGAATTTTCCCAGAATCCAAGCCTTTCTGATACAAAGGTCATGCCATGAACTATCCTACATGATAAATTCATCCAAAATGGGTTAGGTTACTTTTAATAATATATAAATCAGGAGATAAATGAAGAAAAATTACATATAATATAAATTGCATGAAAAATACCAAAGGGGACAGCATCTTCCTTCCCAAAGTAACTGCCACCTACGCAGCTCCGACAGATTTCAAAGCTCGCGTGCACACAATCTCACCTGACCTGCACGGCCACCACCTGGCCCAGGCGAGAAGGGGTCCTCCTTCGCCAGGGGCCTTCTGGGGCCTTACTTGCAGACAGACATACCTCCTTTCATTGTGCTTTGCTTTTATTGTGCATTTATTACAGATTGAGAACAAGACCCTCCACTGGCAAAAAAATCACAATTCACAGTATTGCGACGCTTGCTTTACTGCAGTGGCCAGGAACAGGCCTTACGCACCTCTGAGTCTGCCTGTACACGGGATCCGCGCAAACTAAGAGCTAGTCTCTCTTTCAAACAGGGCGTCTTGTTGGAACCATTTACTTTGTACTTGAACATTTTTTCTAACTAGTGTGTAATTGAACTTCCTCTGGTCAGACTGCCTCCACCCCAAGCAGCATGGAATAGTAAAACGTCACCAGAGCTGACCTCCAAACGCAGGACCGCAGCACACCGTGAGCACGGCCCTGCCCGTCCCACTGCCGTCCAAGGGCATGGCAACCTCTGGTGTGTGCGGCAAATTACAGGGTCATACGGGCAGCACCCCTGTCCAGCCCTGTGAAATTTCAGTGTGATTCTTACAGTAGCAGAGGTGAAAGTATATAGGCCCTGCCTAAGTAAACTTGAAAAGGGCCTGAGAAATAAAATCCTCTTTGTACCAGGTACACACAATGCCGTGCTTAATCCTCACAACACTGTCAACCTGAGTATCACTAGCCTCATTTTACAGACAGAGAAACTGAGGTCTAGGTGAGTTAATTTGTCAGAGATCAAGTGACTATGGTAGAAGTGGGATTTGAAGCCAGGTCTGCATGGTTTCCAAGTCCAGAATTTTTCTCTGCATGACCCTGCTTCATCCCCAGGGGCACACCTGAAAAGCTTACCGAAAATGACATCCTGTCTTTTGATGACGCCCTTCTCCTGCCTACTGCAGAACGAGGGGTCCACCACGAGACTCCAAGATTCTGCCTCGAACTCCTGGGCATCGCTGCTGAGGTCGCTCCACAGGCAGGAATCCACGACATCTAATGTGTTTGGAGAAAAGTCAGAAGTGGAGTAACATGCGAAACACAAACAGGCCTTCCCAAGTACCATGTTTACGGATTCCTCACACTAAATAAACATGCTATGAACAGAGGAACAGCTAAGCCAAAACACTGTTGAGGTGGAGTTGAAACGTCTGAAAACCCAGACGGCTCTCACGAAAGCAGAGAAGGGTCAGATGGTAACGCAGTGACCGTGTACATGCCAAAAGGAGGACGTGTGAAGATTCTCTGTTTGTTTCTTTTGGCTCGGTTTTCCTTTTGGTAACCTTCAGAGCCCGCGTGTGCTCGCAGCATCCTGAGCACAGGGATTTCTTGTGCCCCCGCCACTGTGTTGCACCGTTTACTCAGATCGGAGCTGTGTACCTGCCCACTGGACTGGCTCTTTACCTGGCTTGTTGTCCTTAATATGAACGTGAGCGCCGCACCAGGACTCCGGTCACACGTGTGCACAGAGTTTCCTGACAGAATTTGACAACACCCCCCCC